ATATAGGGGAGCCCTGAGGGACCTATAGGGGACCCTCTGCCCTTATGGGGGCTATAGGGGACCCCAGAGACCGTATGGGGCCTATAGGGGATCTCCATAGGGGATCTATAGGGGAACCCCCCCCAGTATGGGATCTATAGGGAACCTTCTGCCCATATGGGGGCTATAGGGGAACCCAGACACAACATGGGGGCTATAGGGGATCCCCATAGAGGATCTATAGGGGAACCAACCCAGTATGGGACCTGTAGGGGACCCCAGAGACAGTGTAGGGGCTATAGAGGATCTCCATAGGGGATCTATAGGGGAACCACCCCCAGTATGGGATCTATAGGGGATCCCCCACACAATATGGGGGCTGTAGGGGACCTCTATACGGGATACCCCCAGTATGGGGGCTATAGGGGACCCTAGAGAGGGTATAGGACCTATAGGGGACCTCCATAGGGGATCTATAGGGGAAACCCCCCAGTATGGGACCTATAGGGACCACAGACACAACATGGGGGCCATAGGGGACCCCAGAGACAGTATAGGGGTTATGGGGGACCTCTATAGGGGATCCCCCCCCAGTATGGGATCTATAGGGGACCCCAGAGACTGTATAGGGGCTACAGGGGACCCCCTATAGGGGAACCACCCCCATATAGGACCTATAGGGGACCCCAGACACACTATGGGGGCTATAGGGGACCTCCATAAGGGATCTATAGGGGAACCACCCCCAGTATGGGGTCTATAGGGGTCCTTCTGCCCATATGGGGGCTATAGGGGAACCCCAGAGACAGTATAGGGGCTATAGGTGACCCCTATAGGGGATCTATAGGGGAAGCCCCCCATATGGGACTTATAGGGGACCACAGACACAACATGGCACCTATAGGGGACCTCTATAGGGGATCTCCCCCAGTATGGGACCTATAGGGGACCCCAGAGACGGTATAGGGGCTATAGGGGACCTCCATAAGGATCTATAGGGTCCCTCTGCCCATATGGGACCTATAGGGGACTTCCATAGGGATCTATAGGGGATCCTCCCCCCAGTATGGGACCTATAGGGGACACTCTGAACGATATGGGGGCTATAGGGGATCCCCCCAGTATGGGGGCTATAGGGGACCCCAGAGATGGTATAGGGGACCCCCATAGGGGATTCCCCCCAGTATGGGACCTATAGGGGACCCTCTGCCCATATGGGACCTATAGGGGAGCCCAGAGACAGTATAGGGGCTATAGGGGGCCCCCATAGAGGGGGCTATAGGGGAATCCCCCCCAGTATGGCATCTATAGGGGACCCTCTGCCTATATGGGGGCTATAGGGGACCCCAGACACAATATGGGACCTATAGGAGACCCCAAAGGGGATCTATAGGGGAACCTCCCCCAGTATGGGCTCTATAGGGGATCCCACCCCATGATATGGGGCCCATAGCGACCCTCTGACCATATGGGACCTATAGGGGATCTATAGGGGAACCCCCCCAGTATGGGATCTATAGGGGACCTTCTGCTCATATGGGGGCTATAGGGGACCCCAGACACAACATGGGGGCTATAGGGGATCCCCATAGAGAATCTATAGGGGAACCACCCCAGTATGGGACATATAGGGGACCCCAGAGACAGTATAGGGGCTACAGGAGATCTCTATAGGGGAACCACCCCCAGTATGGGATCTATAGGGGATCCCCCACACGATATGGGGGCTGTAGGGGACCTCTATAGGGGATTCCCCCCAGTATAGGATGTATAGGGCACCCTCTGCCCATATGGGGGCTACAGGGGACCCCCATAGAGGATCTATAGGGGAACCCCCCCCCCCAGCATGGGAGCAAAACGGGGTCCCCTGCATG